CAACAACAGCAACAACAACAACAACAACAACAAAAACAACAACAACAACAACAATAATAACAACAACAACAACAACATCAAAAACAACAAGTATGTAAATGTTTTTCTGTCCCTTGGCCACAGTATAGAATGTAGGAGGCGGGCTGTTTCCATATTACCCGACAGAACCCGTTCGAGCAAAAAGAAATACAACATCTCAGCAAACAGTCGAAAATACTCGATAAAATAGTTTCCCCATTTGGGAATCGAACTCTGGTCACCGACGTCTTTGGTGCAGCGGTTGGGCCCTTCCCTACAGCACGCAGGGTATCTGAATTCGATGCCCAAGAGGGGAGATAATAATGTTTATCGAGTATCTCCGTTTTTCTGCTGGGATGTTGTATCCCTCTCAGTCCTGGTTGAGGTGGAGGGCGCCAAAGTTGGGTGATTTCCAAAACTGGGAAGTCAAGATACTTGCGATTGGAGGAGGTGTGGTCGCCTGGGGTTAGGTTAGACGACAAAATTCTTAGAAAAAGGCTGCCAAATTCGGGTGACTTTCAAAACATGAGAGTAATTGGAAACTGCAGATTTACATTTTCTTATTTTGTGTTTCTTTCATCTACGTTTTTCAGAAAACCCACACATATATGCCTTTTAAATCGACATAAAATTGTTTTGCCCAAAACGAAAAATTCGATAAAAAAATGTCCAACTGACGGAAAAATTACGTCGGGGTTTTTTTCGATGTCATTATTTTGATGAGCGTCTTATTTCTAAACATACATATAATCCACCTTCTGCCTTTTTCTATTGGTTTTAATAATGAGGGGGGGGGGGAGGAAATGTATACGTTGATGACAAAAAGAGCCTGTCTTCAAATTATTATTCTCTCTGAGTGATAATCTTTGTTAGCTGGAATGTTAGAGAATGTTTTAAGGAGCGGGTTGTTTCAGCGCGTGAGACATGTTTACTAATGTCCTGTCTTGTTGTGAGTATGCGTGAGTGCACCTAACCTTTGTAACATCTACTGCCATTGTAAACGACCAAGACAAATTTCTCCCTGCGAGATGAATAAAGATTGTCATTGTCATTGTAGTTGAAGGGTGCCATGTGTATGTCTTCACTCGTCCTTTGTTGTTTCTCTTTATCTTATCTTCCTTTTTCCTGGCATAAGGGACCTCACCCCCTTTTTCTGTGCCAATGTGCTTCTTTTTTCCCAAAACTGACCTTTGCCATCTCTATTGTTCAGGAATTTTTCACTTCAAGTTCTGGCGCTGCGGCAACTGGGTGGACGTCGTCATCGACGACTATCTGCCCACGAGGAACGGACGACTCATCTTTACACACTCCAAGTCCAGGAACGAGTTCTGGTCCGCGCTGTTGGAGAAAGCTTACGCCAAGTGAGTCCAACAGGACGCTACCTGAGAATTACAAAGTTCTGTCCGACGTTTTTGGCCGTTTTGAGCTATTAAGACCATGACGTCAGAAGCTAAATGTTCTATCTGCAGTATCCAAATCGTAAGACTATTCGGAGTCCTTAGCAAGATATTCAAAGAATTGCATTTGATAAAGTTTGACAGGTTGCGAGCCTCAACATTTCTGACGCCAAATTTCTCAAAACTAGATACTTAGCAGATAAAACTTTGTAATTCTAAGGTAACAAGAAGCCAAGTGTAATATTTTTACTTTACAGAGAGCAAAGTGGTGTAACAGGTAGGTGCTTTGCTGTTGCATAAGGAAGACCAGAGCTCAGTTCCTGAGTGGAGGTGTTTGCGTTTTTATGTAATCGTATATATATTTCGTCTGTTCGCTTGAACATTATATTCTTCTCTGTCAGTGCCAACCGGGCTGAGGGGTATACAACGTTCCAGCAAAAAGATCGAGATACTCAATGAAAATTCTCCCCACACTGAAATCGAGCTGAGATCTCCTATTTGTGACGGCGAAATAACTACTATCCGCTACACCACAGACGTTGTTACTGCCGCGGTGCAAATCAGTGGAGTGAGCACAAATGAGAAAACTCCTCATCTAGAACCAAAAAGGTTGCGTCGGTGGCCTTGTGATTAAATTACTGGACCCGCGTCCTTGTCAACGGAACTTTACACGACTTTTCAATTTGGCTCTGACCTTTCGGAGACGGACGTAAATTTTGGAGTTCCCACCTCTTAAATAACCTAATCGTGTTAATAGGGGCGTGAAACCTAAACAGTTATACCATTTAGAACCTAAAAAGGATGAGCATTTTGTCGAGAGTCTTAGTCTTTCTGCTCAGACACATTACGGTACCTTGATTTGAAAAATGTGACGCTATAAATTTTGAGTTTCACAACATGGCAAACTTTTTTAAATACAATTCTTTGAATAACTTGGTAACCACTCCAAATATTCTTACGATTTAGATACAGGACACAAAACGTTTAGTTTTTTCATCTCATGGCCTGAATAACTCAAAACGGCCAAAAATGTCAGATAAAACTTTGTAATTCTGAGGTAACGATATCACACGCAGCCCGGGTCAGTCTTGCCCTGCAACGGGCCCGAGTCGTTAACCTTCTAATAAAGACTTAGTGGACTCTTACATCCGAAAGCAGCTGCAGACCATGGGTGACTTTTCGGCGGCACCTTCAGTTCCTACACAAATCCAGTTTCAAAGAAGGTTCGGTGTTGCCTAGCGTTATTAGTTTCTGAAGAAGTAAACAGAATTGAAGAATATCTGTATGAATAACAACGAATTTTGGGTTTGGTTTTTTCTATTTGGGTTTTTTTTTTTTTGCAGCACACATAAATCATATAAGTGCCGACTATTAGCGGTGAAACTAACAAGATAGTAACTATTAAAAAAGAGGAGAGATTAGAACGATAGATGTTTGATAGAAAAGACTGAGCAAAACACACCAAAGGCCCGCCAACCACCCAAAATAATCTTGTAATCTGACCAATGTGTGATTGAATGCACGAATGCAAAGGTCAAATTATAAAATAAGAAATACACCCCTCCC